CCCCAAAACCCCAAAACCCCAAAACCCCAAAACCCCAAAACCCCAAATTATTTAATTAATATTGAATAAAATAAGTTTAAATATGAATAAGAGGATCAAATATAAGCAGGCTAAATATGCTCTCAATCACTTCGGAGAGAAGAAAATTAAGCAGGCTCAGGGTGAAATCCAAGAAGTTGACGAAAACCAGGTATGACGACTTCAATCCCTCAAGCGTAACTCATATCTAGGCCGAAGAAAAGAACCAAGAAGATGACCAAAAGCTACCAAAAATTCAAAAGCAAGGCTTTGTTCTTGACTGCATCACAGGAAAGATGCCTGAGTATAATAGTAAAAATGACAAGCATCTGCAGCACTTTTATATTCGCAAGAAATTAATCAGGTATGTCTCTCACTTGCTCATTCTGATCATCCTATAGGCTCTTGAGAAGACATGAAATTAATTCTCTGCATAAGTAAATATAAGAAGAAAAGAAAAGGCAGGCAGACCAGCAAGTCTGTAAATGTGACCAGACACTCCTTCTTTAAGGTAAAAGCAACCTTTTTAGGTATAGAATAATCTTAAGAGCAATGTGTCCTCCAAAGGTGGCTTAAGATCAAGAAGTTCCCAAAGAGTTCAAGGTAAATTTTTAAAGATGATTTTAGAAAAACCAGTCAAGCCAAGACCAATTAATAATAAATTCAGAATCAGTGGGCTTAAGAAAGCGAAAAGGTATCATTATTAAGATTGAATATATTTCAGTTAGAATAATTCTAACTTCTATTCCTTAGGCATACTTCTAGGAATGTGAAAAATAAACTTAACAGAAAAGGGCAAACCCAGAGAGTATTTTCTTCAGAGAATACAAAAGATGGTTTCTTTCTTACCTCCGTGAACGATATCGAAAATGCTGACAAAGAAAATAATCCTGAACTAAGTCACCGTAAGCCAATGTTCGCTAATCTCAACCCCAAGCCTAAAACCAAGAAGCCGTTCAAAAACTTGTACAGCACTCTCGGAAGGACGGGTAGACTTCCTTCTGTAAAGAGGGGACTTCCGAAGACATCTCTCGGCTTTCTGAACAAGCAGGGGAGAATTTCAAGGAACACAGGAGGGCTTACGCACAGGACCTCTCGTTCTCGGAGGACCAACAACGGGTACAGACTTGTCTCATGTTCTAGGTCACAGTGCAAGGGGAAGAAGAAAATTCCGTACATGACTAAGGGAGATTTCAGGTCTTTGTTGGAGAAGTATAAGAAGGAAGTTGGGAGGGTAAAAGCAGGTTTGGAGTAATTGATTGAAGAGGTTTGGATGAGTTCTTTTGTTTTTTGGGTAGGGTCCTATTTTTGGGAATTTTCAAAAATAAACATTTGAGCTATATCGAGGCAATATGATACCTTTTATATATTTTTAACATTATTATCTTAATAAATACCAAAAAATCTAGACCATTACTCATCTCCAACATATTAAACCCCCTATGGGGTTTTGGGGTTTTGGGGTTTTGGGGTTTTGGGG